AATGTATATTTGCTCTGCCATGCCTTTGCAATTCCACAGCCCCATTCAAATAATGTTAACAAAACAAAATCTTTTTTAAAAAGATGCAATATCTTTTTGCATAATTTTTTAAAGCCATTATATTCATACTTTATTCTTGTCAGTCATCCTGAACCCCATTCTATGGATGCATTTATACTGCAGCTACAGAATTTCCAGCCAGCAAAGGAAAAGGAATTTTAGCCAAAACATATTCAAGGTATACCAAGTGGGGGTTCGGTTGGCCGAAGCCCTTCTTCCCCCACTATTGCTGTAATTTCCAAGACAATTCTCTGTAGATTTTTTAAAAAAATGGTTACAAGATCAGACATCTTGTAACGTCCAAACTCTTAGAATGTAGCATTTCAGCGTGTTTAATAAGACGGTGAGAGAAATGTTGCACAAGTACAATGAGCTATATTTTTCCATGCCACAAATGGTCGAGAACCACTAGGTTTTCCTTTTGTTAAATTTTCCTAATATTTGTTCTGCAAAATGTTATGTCAATCCAGCCAAATAAAAACCTTCCTACTTGATCAGGCCAGAGGTCCATCTGGTCAAGCATCCTAATAGTCAGCTAGCTTACTGTTTCTCAATCTCAACAACCTTAAGATGTATAAACTTCAGCTCCCAGAATTCTCCCATCAGCACTGAGGTAGATAATTCTAGAAAAGTCAACTCCTATTGTTACCCAGCAACTGGTATATATAGAAGTATATACTTCTGAAATTGCTTGTTTTCATTGTCAGGGCTGGGAGCTGATTTCCTATAAGAACACAAGACTGAGTGCAGTGGTTAATTCATCTTTTGTAATTACTCTTCTCTATTACGAAATTTCACTAGGGAAAACTGCCATCAGCCTAATCCCAGTGTACTCCAAGTTGGAAAGCTTTGTTAATTATACATGTTTCTGGAAAGGATCTTCCAGTCATAAAAAAACTGACAAGAAATCTAATACATTGTGTTATATGAAAAATACTTAGCTGGCTTATGGTCTCAGAACTATTCCACATATCCCCAATTAGCTCTCATTTCAGAAGGCTTCTGCAGAAAACAATTGTTTAAAGTAATTTCAATGAAGATTGAGCTAACGTGCTGGCTGGTACTGCAAAATTCTCTTTCCAGAGCCAATGTCCTAGAATACTAGGGAGTGCTGGGGAAAGCATGTGTGCTGTTGGAAATGTTTATGACATTTGTTCCGTAGTGATTGCTCTGACTAAGTAAGCATGCTAATTTTAAATAGCTATAGGAGATGTTTTCTAGACTCCCCCAGCACTAGTGCTGCTGACATTATAAACTGCTCCTGGCAGAGTCAAAGAAAGTTCAGAAGATGATATGGAGGTTGAAAAGACATAACAGGAGGTACCAAAAAGTGTCCTGCTAAATAAAGATAAAGATAGATAAAGAATTTTAAACTAAGCATGTTTTTCCTTTACAGTATCATTGATCTGCTCTTGAACTATCTGGTCACACACTAAGTAATACACAATATAAAATTTCTTCCCATGATATTAATGAATTCTTCTAAACAGTCATATTTGGTGTCAAAGTCCCATCCACCTTTTTCTTTTTTTTGTCCTTATAATAGTCCTTATAATTTAATATCTCGGACTGATTTCCTTTATTTCTCATACTCAGTCATAGCTTCTTTGCCTTTGTAGTTTCAGTTCTTTTTGTCCAACTTCAATGCTTTAGTCCCAATGATTTTGAATCATTTAAATGTCTTTGTAACAGTATAATATCTTAGCAAAATTTGGGAAGACACTTGAACTATTGTGACAGGCCATGAAATTGATATTTCCCTCTGCTGCAAGAAACTGTTTATATTGTGATCTAAGCACAAAATGACCACACACTCACTTACTTTGGCGCTGACGCTGACAATAATATCCAGTAGTTTTTATTTTCTTAGTTTTTACTTATAAAAACATCAAACAAAAACATTGGAGAAAGCCTATTATCACAGGCAGATCCATTAGGGTTTTTTATCCAGGTTGTTGTGGAAATTGAATTTAAACACAAAAAAACTAGTTTCCTTTTATCTTTATCCACACTATGAAGAAGCCCTAGAAACCTGCTATTTGTTGTACAAAGCCTAACATAACAGGCTCTCTGCTGTTCACATTATGCATATTGATTAGTTGCTGCAGTGCATTTTTGTAAGACCATAGTGAACACAGTACAAACACGCTGAGTAAACCTCCCTATTCTGCATGTCAAAAACTGCAGATGTTTTTGCCGGCAGATAATTTTAAAAGGTTTTTTTTATTTGTTACAAAAATCCAGAGCTTTCCAGAGAATTAGAAGACTGTTGTTAATTCCTAACTTTAAGATTTAGGGATATAAAGTCCTCCACCCCACCCCAATTATAATCAAATGCTTAGTTTTGATGAGCTGTGAATATGAAGGTCTTTTTCAAATACAGCAGAAAGCCTTTGCACAGACTGAGCTGCCAAATATTTGTACTTAAGAACTAGCATATCTTTCAGGATGTAGATCATTACAGGTCCCTTGGTATTTGTCTTAAACACTGAAATAGATGGATAAGGTTATGTTTAAATCAAGTTTTCCTTCTGTTATCACTCTAAGTAATTCTCACTGCCTTTGGACGAAACATAGAAGCAGCAAGCTGAGCATATATAATGGATTGCGTAATTAGGTTACAGTATTTCCTTAGGAAGAAGACCAACTCTTAGGCCATGAAGAATGAGAACTTTCCCACTGAGAAAGAATACAGCTAGTTCTTGACTCATGACCACAATTGGCAACAGAATTTCTGTTGCTACGCAAGGCGGTTGTTAAGTGAGTCACACCCAATTTTACTTTTTGCTATGTTTGTCAAGCGAATCATTGCATTATTAAGTGAATCGCATTGCATTATTAAAGAATTATTTATTCTTTAAATGAATCTAATTTCCCACATTGATTTTGCTTGTTGGAAGGCATCTTGGAAAGTTGCAAATGTTGGTCACATGATTCTGGAACACTACAACTTTCGTAAATACATGCCAGTTGCCAAGTGCCTGAATTTTGATCACATGACCAAGGAGAATGCTGCAAAGGTTACAAATGCAAGGACTAGTTTTAAGTCACTGTTTTGGTGCCATTGTAACTTTGAACGGTTACGAAATGAATAGCTCTAAGTTGAGTACTACTATATTACTACTATATTGAGATACAGAACCATAAGGAAGTTCCATACTTTCTTGTGCTGAAAACCACATGGAACAAATATACTAGCTTCTCTCTATGATGCAGAGTGAGCCTGATCTTTGAGAATCAGCTGACAACCTTCATATTCAAGTACTATCAACAATTTAACTATTTGTATCCAAGAGAACAGAAACAATAAGTCATAATGACAAACACAATTTGGTTTCCTTCAGTCTCTCATTTTATAAAACTGTTTAAAAACTTATAAAAGTATTTAAAAAATAAAGAAACATAGGTTTTTGGAGAGACAGTAAACTATAATTGGATGCTTTCAAAAAGAAAAAATGATATGGTATTGTGAAAATTTTTGTTTAATAAGTACAAGACTTATAAAATCAGAGCTTGAAGTGAGAACAACTGAGCACTTCCAACTTTACAAGTGTTCCTATTTGCTCAAAAATAAGAAAGCAAGTCAGACAGGTAAACTCTCCTTCAAGTAAGCGAATGATTTCATGGACACATCCATGCAGGATTAGTTTTTGGTAATGGTATGGAAGTGCCACCATTGTGGGATTTTTCCCCCCATTTTTTTCATCTGGTCTAAAGCCTTAGTATTCTCTAATATTGTCGTACTCATAAGTCTGCTTAGGTTTTCAGCCCAGACATGATCAGCCAAGTCCTGTCATGTGCTGATGCAATGCAGTGTCTTAAATTCAACATCAGCACTCCAATAAATACTAGATATTATCCAGTGAAAATTAGTTGCATCTAAATCTCCTTGACATCAATCAGTGGAGCTGAATTATTTCATTAAATTTTAAGTTAGCCTCATTTGACCTAGGATTTAAAATGATCTAATTTTTATTGTATAGCAGTCACTATACAGCAATGGACAATATCTAATGCCAAATAACGAACAATCACTTTGAATAATAACTGTGTCTTATTAAATAAACATCCAACCAGAGGGAAAGAATATTTTCCATCATGAGCAGAAGAACAACCAAACGATAATTTAGAGTTTGCATAGGATATGTTGGCCTCAGTTGATCATATTCTTTTAAATTTATTGGAGTGATACATAACCAGTCTTTCTCTAGGAAAAGATTTTTTTATCATTTTGTGATGAGATCACTCACAGTTAGTTTTACAAGGGATTTAATTATTTCTTTAACAAAGGCTGAGAAAATGTACACAGATTCACCAGTTGTTTTTGATAATGTAGAGTGTGAATGTATGCATGCAAAACACCAGTGCCATGTAATCCAAACTTCAGTCCCCAATTCGTAGTCCAGGCTTTAATCTGTTTTCTGAATGTTTCTATTCTCTATTTTTAAAAATTCCTTTTAGTTTGGTTATATTATGCCTTTGTTTTAGCCATGATTTCAATCTGAAGTCAAACAGCTGAATCTGGGACCAAGTCATTGTGTGGCAGGTTCACTGCCATTATTATGACGTTCATCACTGAACATTTCACATAGAAAAGGGAGGAAAAATTGATTCTTTGAAGCTCACTTGCTATTGACGATGGAGAAGAGTGGTATAAAGCTGCTTTTCTATGTCTAGATCTGCATCTAGGAGATGAAATATGAGGTGATATTTGGCCTCAGTTCTAAGGGACTACACTTGTGCATTTTAAACTCTGAGCTCACTAGGACTCTTTTTTATTATTTTTATTTTGTTTTATTAAGAACCCCATTGGTCTTGTAAGAAACAGTAAAAAGACCCTTTGTTTAAAGAAGCATTCTACTTTCTGTTTTACAGACTGTTTTAAATAAGTTTTTTTTTTAAATTCCATGTTCTTTTGTAATGGAAACACTAATATCTTGTTTTTTGTATAAAATTCTTTCAATGCTACCACTTCTCTATAATATGGCTCATGTAGTCCTCGGTAGGCAACCGTCCTTGTTCTTCGGTCTCTTCCCTGGGAAGTGCTTCATTCGATCGGTGAAGAAGCCTTTCTTCCCGATTCTTTATTCTCTGCTCCATCCTCTCCAGCTGCCTCTTGTACTGATAGCGCTGTTGGAAGAGGTCTTTTGCATAGTCGTACAGCTGCATGTCCAAGTCATTAAGTTCTTCAATCCTCCGTATGGTCTTGGTGTCCACCTCCACTCCACCTGCTCTTGTGCTATTATACTGCATGAATGGCCTGATAAATTTTAGATTGAAAGTTCTCTCAAACAAATACTGGGTTTTTCTCTGAAATTCTGTCAAGCCAAAAAAGGCCATGTCTCTGAGATTTTTCTTGGCACTTTCCAGCAGTATCTGTGCTCGCTTGTTTTCTGGTATGAAGGACATATTATAGCAGCCTACCAAGCTCAGATCAGCCAACATCCTCACTTGGCGATTGTTAGCTAAGTTATATGGGCAATCCATGAACTCCTGAAGAGTGCAGCCTGACCAGTCTGTGCCTTCATAGCATGATGGCAGCTCTTCAGGGGTTGGTGTCCGGCCATCACACATATGCAAGGATGTTTTCCAGGTAGCTCCTCGTTGGACATGCCTCCATTCACTGAGATAACGGGACACAGGATCCCTTAGCAGAGTGATGTAATAAAACTTCCTGTAAGACAGAAAAAATGCATGTAAGAATTACAGATTGTACACATAATTATTTTTACTTTATTATTTATTTATTAGATTTATTGGCCATCCATCTTACCACAGGGTAGCATCCAGTGACAGTTAATAGTATTATTTGTTTCTTATTAATTTTTAAGGTTTACATTCTCTGAATCATACAGATTTCTTTTCCACGAGGCTCCACGTTACTAGTTTCAAGCAGTGCCAATGTAATTCAGTATAACTCAATGATTTGTGGTCATTCAACAGTTCTTTTGGCATTAAGGATCAACTAACATTTCATATTATTATGCACATTAAATGGGGAATAGGACAATTTGCCGCAGCCAACTTGCTGCGGCCAACTCACCACAGCCAACTTACTGTGAGACAACCCACCATGGGACAATTTCATAATTCAATTTAATAATTTAAAATAAATAAAAAATATTTTAGTTTTTGTCGTTCACATTTCATTCTGTCCCTCCTTTTGTATCCTTTTAAAAAAATATTCTATGCCACCCTTTCTTTGATATTAGTGTAACCTTTCTCCCGCAGTGAGTTGGCTATGGCAAGTTGTTCTGCAGTGAATTGGCTGCGGCAAGTTGGCTGTGATGGGTTGGCTGTGGTGAACTGGCTGTGGCAAATTGTCATAAATCCCATTAAATGTATATGGCAATAACAAAAACAGGAAATAGAAAGCTACAGAGGAAAAAACCTACAATACTTCTCATCAAAAATCACTTGTCCTGAAAGGAACCTTAGGAGACCACTCAGACTGAGAACTAGAAGAATTTTATGACACAATAGAAGAAGCCGTTTCTTTAGTAAAGGCAATGAATATCCCAATGGTTATGGGAGATCTGAATGCAAGTATAACAAACCCCAAGGTAATAATAATCTTGGGGAAGGAAGATCCTCCCCACATAAAAATTGTCAGCGTTGTTCCTCAAGCAAGACCAAAACTTTGTCTATCTTGAACACTTAATCAGGGCAAATGGGAAAACTGATGAAATATCAACACAACTTGCCAGGAAAACATTTAAAGATCTGAATAATGTTGTTACTTCAAGGGGAATAGATTTAAATTATGAATGACCATATGTATTTTTAGTCAATTCTCTTTCATGACATGAAATAAGGAAGGGTGAGAACAGACTGAAAGTGTTTGAAATGTGGCTTTTAGGGAGAACGTTGAGAATTTTTTTTTTAATCTTAAAAGATAAAAATCTTGAAATCCTAGAGGCCATCAAACAAAGAAAAATGTGATATTTGGTACATTTATTTAGCTACAATTATATACAAAGGACCCTGCAAGAAGAAACAGTGGAAGGAAAAAAAGCCAATGACAGTAAGAGACACTTGAGGTAGCAATACACATTGCTACTCTGAACTGGAACTCGGGATTGACAATCTCCTGGAAGGAGAAGATACTTGAACTGAACACATTAAATTATGCAATACTGCCCAATAAACATAGCTTAGATAACTTGTGATTCACATAGACAGAGCTCAAGTAACTTCCAAAACTGTAGATAGATGAACTCTAACCTAATTTTTAATCAATTAAAATTCTTCCAATTTTTCTGTTCGCATTGTAATCTTAATAGATTAATTAATAGCATGCACAATATTGAAAATACATGATATTAAAGATAAGCTACCTAAATTACAGTATTCTGTTCTATTTTATCAAAGCTAACTTTGATAAAGAAATAATATATTTTCTAAAATGCATATGTTCTGAATTATTAATTAATTAACTAAACAGTATATACATGCTAGGTACGAGAGCCAGTATGTTGGGTGGTTAAGGTGCTGGATTAGGAGTAGGTGGACCTTGACTCTAGTTCTCCCTTAGACACAGAAGCCAGACTCTTTTAACCCTACACTAGGAAGTTGAAAAAACATCCCAGAAGAAGGAAATGGCAAATCGCTTTTGTGATGTTGCCAAGAATGCTACAGAAATAATATAAATATGATAAATCAATAAAATGTTTTAAAAATCTGTCTGTATATATATTGCCTTCAAATCAGTGTTGACTGCAAGTCCCTGCAGTTTTCTTGGCAAGGTTTTTCAGAGGTAATTTGCTATTGCCTTTTTCCTAGGGCTGAGAGTGAATGATTGGCTTAAGATCACCCAGCTGGCTTTTTGTCTAAGGTCGGTTTAGCATTCACTGACTTGCTGGTGTTTAGCCTGGTGCCTTAGCCATTACACCAAACTGTCTCTCCATGAAATTAGCAGGACTCATGATAAACCCTTTTCACACCATCAAACATACCAAGATATACAGCCCATAATTTAATCAATTAGGCCCAAATCAAGGTGGAATTAAAAAATACCAACTAATTACAGAAAGCAAAGAGAGTGGTTACTATATGTATCCCCAAAGGACTATGTTCCAGAGAATGGGAATCCCTACAGAGGAGACCTTCCATCTAACTGAAGTTCCATGGAATTCAAATTGCGGGTTCCCTCAAGATATTTGACTCGGATGGGTAGAATCAATTTGGCAAGGTGAGTGAGGCCTGCTGCAGTGAACTCAAAGTCTGTGTTATCCTGTAATGCCAGGATTGCTATGCCAGTCATCTGGCTGTTGCATTTTGAGCTAATGTCCTGAATCCAATGTTTTATGTCTGGTATCACTGTATATCATTGTACTATTTGTCTTGTATCATTGACTGAAATTTTCCAACTTTCTTTGCTCCGGCCCTGCTCTAATAGGTTTCTTTTCTGTGGCATTCAATAATGGTGATGCAACTTTAAATGACTATGTTCAGGAGCTCATAATGAGAGCTCTTACAGCTGCTTACCCAAGAGTATTCCATATTCATGCTCCAGTGGAGACACTATAAATGCACACATATACTTGCTTTCTTATTTATATTTAAGGAGAATAACAACCAGGATTCTGTTTAAAAAAACCCTACCTTTACAAACCTCTACACAAGAAAATCAAACAAACCACTACTGCCTATATAAGGCACAATTACTATGCATAATTACTTTGAAGGAAATAAAATAAAATAAGGGAACCACTTCACCCTAACTTCCCTCCACTCCATGGCTTTTCTATTCACTGAAATCTTATTGGTTTAAAGACTTTCCGTCAATATATATATAATTGGACAGAAATATTATTTCTGTATAATATTACTAATACTATTTGTGTATAGAGATTGACAAATACCAATGCTGTTATGCAAATGATAACATATCAGCGCTAGATCTACACAGGTTTGGAAAGTAAACATTTTGTTCTGAGGCATGTATATCAAACTTTTAGGATTTTTGAAAAGTTTTATTAACTTGTATTCTTTCCTTGAATTTTTACAGATACAGTAAATGGCATTGAGGTAGGAGGGGAAAATTAGAGAGAATCTGTCAAATCCAAAGGTTAAAAAAAAAGTGTCATTTTGTTGTTTTCTCCCTACTTTTCTAGATAGTGTTTTTTCCTTCAATTTCTCTCCTATTTTTTTTTTTGCAATGATCAGGAATTAAAGTTAACAGGATGTTATAGATCTGCTGATCATATTTTTTCTTCCTCTTGCTTTTTTATAGTTGTGATTCTTAAGCTTAAATTTAATACCATTTTATGAATACTGTACATACAGTGCATAATTTCCTTCTGCTAGTGATGATAATGACATTTTTAAACTTCAGCAAAAATTAATAATACTGTATATAAAACTGTCAGGTTGTATTGTGTTATCACAAACCTTTCATTTCGGAGATTTCATAATCCACTTTGTCTTATGAGATCAAATTATGTTTACATCCTGGACAGCCAGTTTTAAAAACTTACATGATTTAATTAAATTTTCAATCCTGATTATTCTGTAAAACATCAGTTTTGTTTCAAAGGGCATCAACTTCCATTGGATAGTAAGTTGAATTAGAAATAATTCTCACATTGTCACTTCATATTATTTCACCCAAGAGCTGAAATGCAGCTCCCACTGAAGTCCCTGATAAAATTTTCAATTCATTTCATGGGGATGGGATAAAGTTCAATGAACATGTTCAGGAATATCTGCATGGTATGGTAAAGAAAGTTAAAATGGAGGTCATTATGGTGTAGTTAAACATTTTTGTTTTTTTTATATGTGTCAGATGTGATCACACAGGAGCTTTAATACACCATCTTGGCCACCATCTTGCATTTTGACTTTCCCCTTGTGCATGCCTACTTCCTTCCAGCTTTGTAAGCTATACAGAGAGGAATGCGTGTTGTCATCAATCCAAAGATGTCACCCTATTTAAAAGGACACATTTACAGAAAAAAGTGGAGACAAATCAAGCTTCAGTGTATTTTTCTTTTTCTAGCCTCTTATTATTTTGCTTTATTGTATGCCACCCAGAATCATTTTGAGTGAGATGGGCAGTCATATAAATTTGACAAATAAATATATGAAATAAAAAATAACAATGATTCATTTTTCCCAAGCAGGATGTTGCTATGATTTAAATTATCAATGCTATGAAACACCAAACAGGCAGGGATGAAAACACCAGTGGAAGACATAAAAGTAATGACTGATGTGAAATGTTTCATTGAGAAAGAGAGAGCGACTTCGATTCTGATCACTGAAACATTAAAAGTTCTAAGAAGTGGGTGTTTTTTTTTCTTCAAACCAGAGGAATTCTCAAACTTGTTTTTCAATCTCTCTTCTCAGAAGAGAAGAGTAAAACAGTAAAAAAATATTACTGTTCTATGCTACACTAGATCTAGACTTTTTAATCCTGAAGTGTGCCAAGTCTGGAATACCAAATAATAATCCAGAATCCAAATATTCTGCCATTGTTACTGACATTTATGATACAAATATTGAAATTGTATACCGTATATTAGAATTTAATTTAATTACTTTCTGTTTTCTATGTTGTGTTAAGTCTTGTTTCTTAAATCCATCATCAATTCATTTCTAACCAGAGTATTCAATCAGATCTGATTGGTAAGGATTCTGCGCCATGTCTGATTTAGATGGACCTAATCTCTGCCTACCAGGTTTTTTTGTACAGAT